CGCCCTTGTTCACCAAAATGTAGCAAAGCTTTTCGTTATAAAACGAATACTCGAAGGGAAAGCTCATGTTATTTAGCAAATACTAGTCAAGTCCTACGTATAAAATATCAGACATACGTCATGGCGACCTGTTATTCGCCTGAGCTTTCATTGTGGGAAATATGATGGAAGAGAATGTCGAGAGAGAGACGCAGGCGTCCAAACAAACGACGGCTAAACACGCTGAGGCCTGGGTGCACCTTGTAGCTGTTGCTGTATCTGTTTCTCCGAGTGAGTTCCATCACAGCGTTGACTGGAATTCTTATTCCGATATCGATATAAGTACCTCGTGAATATACGAGTTCGCTATGAGTGAGGGTATTCATGTATATAATTATATTTTACAACTTAATATCAACTGATGTGAACATATTCGAAATTATCTTGAATTTTATGGATCGGATCAACGTTGTTGCAACTAGGATTAATGATGCATGAGATTTGGCTAGCAGTATTAAAGGAAGCTATCGAGTGATGCCTAAAGCTGGAATACCGAAAGTATCACGTGATTTATACGTCACAATATATTTCATTTTGCTCACGGCACTGGTGTTGTGAGGGCAGTACTGTATAATTATAAAGAATGACGATATCAAAACACAAGAACCTGTAACAGAAAATCTGGTTAAAATCCTACAATGATTTGGGCCTTGGTTTTTGGCACACTGGTATTTTGGTGATCGCTACATGGCTTTTGAGGTTCATGCACTATCACAATGCAGTTGTTTTATAAAGTTTTTAACGTCTCGTTAAAGCCAGTGCAATAGAAATCAGCAACTGGAAAAGTCAGGCGAAGATGATGTCACCAACCACACTTCGGCCGTTCTAGACAGGGCAAATGAATTTACCTTTACGTTGATTCCTCCCCACATGCTACAGAGAGGGGCGAAAATGACTTGTTTCTTTGCAGTCAGTGTTATCGTGTTCCGCTCATTCGTAATAAAATTATCGCTGACGACAGATAATAAACAACAATTGAGGCTGAAATTGTAAAATAGACGTGGAAATAGTATAACAAATCAGAGATGACACAAATGGGTAATTATGCCTTGCCCTACCTTTCGCAAAGATATTGAACACACATTGCAAAGTAAGAATATGTTGCCTGACGAAGTGAGAGTAATTTAAAATCTTCGCTTCACTTCATCGTACTGCAAAAAACCCTTTGACACAAAACACTTACAGTAATAATAATCCAGAATGATATCCAGTAATAATAACAATCCATACATTTCAACCAAACGTGGCCGTGAAGAATCCTGCCTGGTTATTAGAAAAGGGGGTTGGGTCTTCGGGCCAATAGGGTGAGAGGTTCAATATTCCACAACTTCAGGGTAATAACCTTCGAAGATGTCGGAGTATTAAACCATATTGTGCAAGCGTTGATTGTGAAGAGTTCAAGCATTTAATGTCATAGGAAGAAGCAGACACATAGAGAACGTTGCGAAATTTGACAAAACTGACGTTCAAAGCAATGATCAACACCGACTTCGACCATTCTGTCGCCATGTTTGTTTTGATGAACGCTTGACTTGTTTTGCGTGTGTTTGTGATGGAAGCCAATAAGCAGGAAACGAGGATAGTACCTAATTATGTACTCGACCTATATTATGTAAGTTTCATTCATGACAAATCTTTTCAGTTGTTCCGAAAACACAAAACACTTCAATCGCGTAACAGCTGCATTACAATGTGATCTTTTCACTTTTACTCCCATTTTCATTCTGGTTCCATATTGGTCGGTAGATGATCCAAGTCAACATCAATTAACCACTTCCAGAGCATGTAAGTCGATTGTCTTCACATATGATCGCATTTAGCCAGCAAAGCTTAGAAAGCCTCACTTGCGGGCTTGGTCCCTTAATTGACCATCCCTTACAAAACAGACAGGCCGAAAACTATCTATCTATCATTGAAGTTCCATGGAGAAAACATAGAGGCAGCATCAGCCAACCAAAACCCTGCAGCTTGACCTTTGACATCAGCCCTTCCAGCATGAGAGAACCGGTTCATTTCCCAAGGGAGGTAATTATGATATCGGGATCACGAACAGTTCTGCGATCTAAGAGATCGAAATTCAAAAGCAAATGATGAAATAAAACCTGTAGTTTAGATCACACACAGGACATTCACTGTTCACATATTAACTTCAAATGAAAGTGCCTTAAATTGATTTTATCGTCAGATAAGGTTATCCTTCAAAGAGCTTTGTCCTAAACTATAATGTAATTTTCTCGCTAAACAACATCACATGAGTGTAAATATTTGCCAAACTTACGTAGCATGTGAAGCGACTTCTCAGCTGAATTGTCAATTGCAACAATTTTCCGAGCGATTTTCACCCATTTCTTACGGCTATTCCTCTGAGTATTACATTTCGTTGCCAAATCCCACTTTAATTTCCCGATTCTGAAAATGTAGCTTTCTTTTCACTGGACTTAAAACGACGCTATTCAAAAGTAATCAGTTATTCGATAGAATGTCGCAGGCATTCTGTAAATGTTTTGCGTTGAAACGAAATGATATCAGTTAAATGACGGTTGACGCTATTTGAACCCGACGGGAGTGCATACCACATCCAATGGTCACAACAAATGCGCTGAAATTTAATTCAGCAGTGTTATGAGACTTTCTAAATTGTTCCAAGTAAGAGAGAAAGAAGAAGAAAAGTTTGTTGTGTTTGTCCTTTAAAGCTACACTCAGGTATATTCCGACTGTGATGACGGCATGAAACACGATTCTGTCCAGTGATTCATGTGATGAGTGAGTGAGTGAATTTAGTTTTACGCCGCACTCAGCAATGTTCCAGCTATATGGCGGCCGTCTGTAATTAATCGAGTCTGGACCAGCAAATCCAGTGATCAACAGCATGGGCATCGATCTGCGCAATTGGGAACCGATGACATGTGTCAACCAAGTCAGCGAGCCTGACCACCCGATTCCGTTAGTCGTCTCTTACGACAAGCATGGGTTGCTGAAGATCAATTCTAACACGTATCTTCACGGGTGATGTTATGAGTAATCAACCCTTGGAATTCATTAAGGTGTATCTTGTGTGCGTGCGTGCGTGCGTGCGTGCGTGCGTGCGTGCGTGCGTGCGTGCGTGCGATGGCAATTGCGCTAAAGTATCTGCCCAAAGAGGAAGTTAATGGGATGAAGATGCAAATGCCAAAGTTTCTTCTCGTAATACCGCACAAGCAATACAGCTAAGGCACTCGCTCTCACGTGGACGTTACAGCGAGTATGGTCTTGTCACAGTTTTATCTAATACCGAATTAATAACGTCATACATCTAAAACACTTACCTACAAGAGGAAGTTAAAGGGAGTATACTGACACCATGGTTTCTTGTCATATTGCAAAAGTAATATGGCTAACACATTCACCAAGGAGAAGAACAATGATAATAATCTCAGTTTCTTCTCAGAATACTGCAAAGTAATTTCGCTGAAACACTCGCCCATGAGGGGAAGTTGAAGGTAGAAAGCTGTTGTCACAGTTTTGCCTCAAAATACCACACTCGTTACAAGAAGTACCGCAAAGTAATATGGCTGACAGAGCTCCAGATAAGAATTAGCTCATGGGGGTACTGTACCCACTGTATTTTGTTGGAGTGAGTATTATGAATGTTGAGTGGGTATTTCATTTTCCGTTACCCACTGCTTTCAAATATGTGCGTATTTCAGTCATTTTACTCACCTAAGTATTATGTCATTGAATAAGTTTTCTAAGCAGGTATGTTCTGCCTTATGTCATACCTAATCAAAACCTACTTAAATATAACGGAAATGATTTCATAAAAAATCACTCATCCTATACTGACAGTACAACACTTGTCTTATACTAACAATAAAACGTGATAGCAATCGATGTCTTTTTCATTACGCAAGCGATTTTTATAAATATATTCCGTACGCATTTGTTTTAAACTTTTGGCGTATCTAACCTTTTAAATGTGTAACTGGTACGCAACAATTATTTTTCAAAGCGTAATTGTAAATTTTCTATGCGTATTTTACCCGGATACGCAGCTTATCTGGGCCTCTGTAATGACTGTTCTTAAGATGACACTGAAAGCGTCGCAAGGCTCAAACAGGTAACCACACGAAGGAGTTAAAAGGTGTATACTAACACAACAGCTTCTTCTTATGTTAGCGCAAAAGAAATATGGCTGAAGACTCTCACGGTTCTTATACTACCGAAAAAGATATACGGCCAAACCACTGTCCACAAGAGGACGTAAAAGGCAGTATGCTAATATTAAAATGCTTATTATAATACGAATTAATATCACATTATTTCGCCACATTCGAAATAATGATGTAACCAATATACGTGCGATTTGTCTTTTTATTCTATAACATATATAATAATTATTTTTCAAACATGATATGGAACTATGTTCTTCTGACATTCCCATGAATTTGAAGTGAGCGAGCGAGTTTAAATTTTAGCAAATACCAGTAATATCACGGCGTGGAACACCAGAAATGGGCTTCACACATTGTACCCATGTGGGGAATCAAACCCGGGCCTGTGACGAGCGAACGCTTCACCCACTAAGCTACCAACGCCTCCCTATGAATCTGGAACTGCGTAACAACATACTTGTATACTTAACAAACTATCATTTGGTTCAAGATTAGACAGTTGTGTTATGAACATACTTCAAACAGAATTACATTCCACAGAAGCATAATTTAATACAATATTTTACCCCTTCCTTGAAATTGAAACATGATTCCTGATCCTTCAGTACTTATCTCGTTTCCATAATTTTTATAATCAATATCGAAAACGCACGGCGAACATAATCCTGAAGCGATGCCTTAAGTCGTTATCATCTTCACCAAAATGAAAGATGGATCACTGCAGCTGAAACAGTGCAAATCTCCTCCGATAACAATATGAATATCGATACGTTCAACCTCCCTAAATGAAGTAAACGGACGATCACTTACCCTTGACTCGGTGCTGGTGATGGTATCGACGATCACACAGAACGTTTTCCTCAGACAATAAATCCAGGCGCTCCTTTAAAGGTCCTTCTATATCCTACACGGTTCTGCTCATCTGAGCGACGGGGACTGCCCGACGTGTTGGCAGGGAAAAGTGGCAAATCTAGCACGTGGATACATTGCTACTACAAAACCTCCTCCCGTATTACCACATATGAGCCTCGCCACAGCTTCCCCGCTACCTCAGTCATAGGAATACGTGGCCACAGATCCGTGGAGCTTGTGCAGGGCTCGGCCTCTTCGCGTCTACCTGCAGATGATAAAGTAACGCTGCAATCACCCAGACAGACATTTGCACAATCCTTGACTCAACGACGTCATGTGTTGGGGACGTAAACATCGGGCTCCTAGATATATATATAATACGTATGCCTGGGGGCTTTGTAGGTTCAGGTGATATGGATTTGATTTAAATTGTGTCATTTAGTGATGTAAGTGGTTGAAATGAAAGCACACTAAATACATGTAGGTCGGTTGAAGATAGGAAAGCTGATTATATCAATTTAATTTATTAAACACACGTATAGTGATGTATAGATGAATTATGAACACGAATGGATTTGATTTAAATTGTGTCATTTAGCGATGTAAGTGGTTGAAATGAAAGCACACTAAATACATATAGGTCGGCTGAAGATAGGGAAGCTGATTATATCAATTTAATTTATTAAACACACGTATATTGATGTATAGAATGAATAATGAATACGAACGATGGAAGATCGTCAGGTAGGTATGGCAGATTAGCTGTTATCAAGAGAGTTTGAAGTGATTGCAGGAAGTGATTACCAGGTACATGAACGATATGTTTCAACGCAGACATACATATTAATGGAAATGAAATTTGTTCATGAATATACATGAATATAGATGAATAAACATGAATATATACATGAATAAACATGATGGGAGATGGGTAGATAAACGGTAAATATCATATAGTACACTGATATAATACACTATAAATACTGACAAGATTAACAGTTAGATACGAGAGACAGAAAAAAACTTGTGTACAGGATATGTGTGTATATATATGGAGTGTTTGTGGAAGAATGCCTGATATAAGAGTATGTTTTATTAGTATCTTTGCTCATTGAATATTATATATTTGCGAAACCACATACATGTATATGGGTATGTGGACGCGGGGTTATGGCCAATATATCATACATACACGCATACATACATACATACACACGTACATACATAAGTACATGCATGCATGCATGCATGTATCCATCCATCCATCCATCCATCCATACATACATACATACATACATACATACATACATACATACATACATACATACATACATACATACATACATACATACATACATACATACATACATGCATGCATGCATATGGAGGGGGTGGTGGGAGGTAATTATCAGGTTGGACGGACAGACAGACAAATGTCAGATAGACAGATGTATGGATGGACATTTAAGGTAAGCCTGTAACTACAAATATAAAAAGAGTCCATACATGTGAACTGTGGTGGCATACAGACCAACAGTGAGTGAGCGAGTACGGTTTTACGCCGCTTTTAGCAATATTCCAGCAATATCACGTCAGTGAACTCCAGATATGGGCTTCACACATTGTACCCATGCGGGAATCGAACCCTGGTTTTCAACGTGACAAGCAGACGCTTTAACCATTAGGCTATCCCACCGCCCCAGAGACCAACAGTAAATACCACGATACACCAATGGATATTCGCGCATATAAATAGATACAAACATGATGAGCGACCAGCAAGTACTCAAACAGAGATAATAAACATTTGGTCGCAAGCTGTTCGCACCTACAGCCCTGTAACCTTAATGGGTTGAAACACCAGACACGTATCAAGCTGGGAACTAACGAAAAACTCTTCAGCCAGGACACGCGAATACGCGGTACACGGAATTCGAAACCATGGCTATTTCACATGGAATGCCCAGTGCCACAGCCTGATGAAGAAACCATTGACGTCTGACATTGCAAGTTCTACATGCATATTTCCTCTGATGCACAGGGCACCGTTCCACGCTATGATTGGCCTACATGTATGTTCCTCTGGTCCATGCAAAACATTTGTCCCTCAGCGTATCCAGAGACGTTCATTCATTCACCGAATGTTTACATAAGGGATAATACGGTATTTCAGTGCCAAAGAGTTTATGCAGCCATACATGGAACTGATGCAAAGTATCCGATTTGATGGAGTACACTGGTGTTATCTCTTGTCACAACGCTTAAGGAATAAGAAAGCTCAATTTATTAACCTACATCTTGTGTTTATCAAAGTGGCGCTACGGCTAATGTTTTATGACTCGATACGTCGATAATACTTTTAGACATAGGATTATAAAACACAATCCGAAAATGTTTGGGAGAATAGTTTCCGAAAAAAATACGTTTTGAAACACGAAATTGAAGATTAAATCTCAAGAGAGGAATCTCTTGCCAACTTTGTTCTTTTTTGCTCCGAACTTAATCCAATGATAAATTTTCTCCTGTCATTCTGTGCTGCGTCAATGCTGGCCCTGACTAAAACCGGAACACAACACTTGCAAAGTCTGTCATTAGCGATCTGCCTTCATCGTAACTGACTTACGCTTGCTACATCACCATCCTGGTCAACAGTAACCCAGGATATTGGATGCCAGAGAATCCGAAAGTTCTAAGAGTGAGTGAGTTTAGTTTTACGCCACTTGTAGCAATATTCCAACAATATCACTTCGGTGGACACCGGAAATGGGCTTCATACATTGTACCCATGTGGGGAATCGAACGCGGGTCTTCTGCATGAAGAGCGAACGCTTTAACCACTAGGCTACCCAACCGCCCCAGCGTTCTAAGAAGCCACAAGTGGCCTATCATTGCTGTACCAGGATTTTTTTGTTTGTTTGTTCAGATTGTAATCTGTGGCCTATTAGTAATATGTTATTGTTGTACCAGGATGACGTCCGACGCAATTCCCTATTTTGACTTGTACCTTACGTTCCCGAATCATTTCAGGTGAAAAATAGACTAGAATTGGCATATGTTTATGACGGTTGTCACCGGTGGGGCAGGATACGCTCACCTTTTCGCGAACACCTGGTATCATCACTATTTGATAGTGATTCATAAGCACATGCTCTTTCATCGTATTTCATGGTGACGATCACTGGTTTGTCTGGTCCAGACTTGATTTGTTTACAAACAACATCGAACAGTTGTAACACTGCTGAAACAAATATATACTCATTCTATAGTCACAATTGTACAATGGACTCTGCTTTTACCAGAGACTTCTGATGAATGTGGAAAGGGTTCTGTCGCTTTTATTTGTTTGTTTGTTTGTTCAGATTATCATCTGTGGCCTATAAGTAATATACCATTGTTGTACCAGGTGTTGTTTGTTTGTTTTCAGATTCCCATCTGTGGCTAATCAGTAATATATTTATAATTTATTATTGTACAAGGATTTGTTTGTTAGTGTATTTATTCAGATTCTCATCTGTGGCCTACTAGTAATATATAATTGTTGTACTAGCATTTGTTTGTTTGTTCAGATTCTCATCTGTGGCCTATAAGTAATATATCATTATTGTACCAGGATTTGTTTGTTTGGCTTTTTTTTCAGATTCCCATCTGTGGCCTACTAGTAATATATCATTGTTGTACCATGATTTGTTTGTTTGTTTAATTTTTTCAGATTCTCATCTGTGGCCTATAAGTAATATACCATTGTTGTACTAGGACTTGTTTGTTTGTTTGTTCAGATTCTCATCGGAGGCCTACTAGTAATATATCAGTGTTGTACCAGGATTTGTTTGTTTAGCTTTTTTTTCAGATTCCAATCTGTGGCCTACTAGTAATATATCATTGTTGTACTAGCATTTGTTTGTTTGTTTGTTTGTTTGTTCAGATTCTCATCTGTGGCCAATCAGTAATATATCTTTGTTACTCCAGGATTTGTTTGACTACTTGTTTTTTCAGATTCTCATATGTGGCCTGTTAGTATGATATCACTGCTGTACACGGATTTTTAATATATCATTGTTATACCAGGATTTGTTTGTATGGGTTTTTTCTCAACTTCTCACCCGTGGCCTATCAGTGACATATCATTGTTTTACCAGGATTTGTTTTGTTTGTTTGGATTTTTTTTGTTCAGGTTCTCATCTGTGGCCTATCGGTTATATAAGTGCATGTTTATTGGTTTCAATGCAATGGGATCGATTTGTGTTTTCGCTCATACCAAGGTTACACGTTGTAAGATAATTGCAAGATATTAAAGCAACTATCATTAGGTGTCTCTTCTACTTACACTGCATCTATGTGCTTGCTAGGCATACGCTATCATATGGCTGGAATAATGCTGAGTGTGGCATTAAACTAAAAACAACGCACCGTGAGTCATGAATGCATCATTCTACGTCAATTCACAGGAGCAAAAGCGTAACCTTTAGAATATAAACACATTTGATTTGTGACCTTGTGCCATTAGTGTTACTGATAGTCACATATCTCATAACATGAGTCTCATTAAGACATAGTATTTAATATCAGAGAGGTGTTCCGCAGATTTGTCACCACCAACACCATTTTTATCATGTTGCTCAAAATTATTAAAATATAATGATACCTCATGCTATGTTTACATTCTGTAAACAATCAATCATCATTTCCACGTCATAAAAATACTCTGTAAACAATATTTATGATTGCTTTTATGCTTTAATCAATCGAAGTTTTGCAAATAACGACGAATTTGATGATAAAATCTGTCCAAACGGTACGAAAAAACATGATAGTTTATCATTTAGATTGCGGGGACATCACTGATTGTAAGCAAAATCGAAAAAGTGACAATAATACCTCTGTTGAAATTACACAACCCTGTTGAACATGTCAAAAGACTATGATTTATTAACATGTAATATACAAACTATGGTTTTGGATATAAACACGACATGTACTGTCACACACTGAAACGTATTATTGTCATTGGTTATAACTTTGCAGATGTTGTTGGCTATAATTGCACGTGGAACTGACTCTGAAAACAACAATCAGATGTCAAGCCTTGATTCCGCTGCTTCTAACTGTCGCTGCCCCGCGTTGAAAATTAAATTAAATGTTCAAACCACGCAATTAACGTCTATTTAGCATGAATTAAGCGACAAGGTTGATGGTTCCGCGTCTTGCTTTGCGAAACCTCGAGACGGCTACAGTGTCAGATTGGTTTTACTTCTGTTTTCAAGAAAA